TACTTTATATGTACTAGAAATAGTTCTATCAAAAAAACGTTGTATAGTAACATAGATACCTCATGAAGACCTGCAATTTTTATTTGAAATATTTTTACATGCGTTAATTGGTACTGTTTGCCGAAATGTGAGCCATTTTGTTTAAAATTATTGAAGTTGCTGCATAAAACATTGTCTCCGCGGGACAAGTAACATCTGTAAATGGACCGCAGGATAGGAATCATTTGGCTCAGAATTGGGACCAGAGGCAGGTGCTTGTAAACATGGAACTAAATTTACAACGTTCTGGTTACATAAAGCAAGGGACATTTCTTGCCTAGCTGAGACACTATTAGCTTCTCAGCAAGGACTCTGCGGCACGGGGTTGGTTAAACGGGCCGCAGGATAAGATTCATCTGGCTAAGAATATGGACAAGAGGCAGGTTCTTGTAAACATGAACTGAACCTATGAACCTTATGGTTACACACAACATGCCTAGCTGAGACACTATTAGCTTCTCAATAACGACTCTGCTGCATGTAATTAAGAGAATCGCAGGAATGGATTCACTGGTTTCAGGATAGGGACCAATGGTGGGGTCTTGTGGATATGGTAATATATAAATACTTTCGGGTTCCATAAAAGGCGAGCAGTTTCTTGATTAATTGATCAAGTATTTCAAAGAGGACTCTACTCCATGAAAAACTTAGTTAGCTAAACGGGCCGCAGTTTCTGTGACTCGAGCTGAAGCGACAAAACCTTAGCCATTTTCATTGATACTTTAGTTCCTAATTCATTTACCGATGCTATATGAACTGCAGACTGTACTTAAACTACGAGTGACGAAATGGAAAGAACATGAAAGAAAGTGACGGTTGCCTATTTCATGCTACTAGATCAGCAGTCGTCCGGAAAGACGGAGGAAAACCTCGGAACACCTCAGTCAGGATAGACGGTGACCCGATGGAGAATCCTGCTACAAATGAGATGCGTTAGGGCTGAGGTGCGATCAATGGAGTGGAGGTGCAACAGACTTGCAGACGGCGCCAAGCAGTCTCCACAGGCGCCACTGCGTAGCGTATCAGCCCTACTCCACTCCATGTTTATCCGCGAAGTTCTTAATGTTTTCACTACGCACAAGAATCTTCACATAGTACTCTCACTGGAAAACGGGCCCTTTTTGGTCTTACTTGCACGCAGTACCCTAAATAAACACATACGAGTAATGCATATGTCACGCCACCCCGTCTGTATCGTTAATGGTGAATAGACTTTGATCAATTCTTTTTGTGGAGGCCAGCAATTTGTGGGATGGGCTTAATTTCGGGTAGCACAGTAATACATGAGAAGGACATGGACCTATCCCCCCATACGCCCTCATGGCGTAGTGCTTGATTAGTTAAGCACAGGTATAACTTGGGGGCACGCCGTAGCGTAGTTGGTTGAGGCACTATGCTACAAACCGGAAGGTCGCGGGATCGAATTCCGATGAGGTGGATTTTTTTTCAATTTACCCAATCCTTCCAGCCGTAATATGGCCCTGGGGTCGACTCAGCCTCTAATATAAATGAATACCAGGAATATTCTTGGAATGTTCTTGGGTGTAAAGGGTGGCCGGCGCGTAAGACTGACAACCTTACCGCCATCTATGAACCGATTGTATAGAAAATGTGGGAACCTCAACATCTCACAACCCTATGGGCCTCCACGGCCTGTTACAGGAATGCCTTTACTTTTTTCCTCTTTTTAGTATTATTATAGCCCGGGAAGGCTGTACGTAAGAATAATTTATTATTCACACCAATTTGGTACCTGTTAAAATTTAATATATAAAATTATTTTTAAATTGTTTCATTATGAAAACGAAACATTGTGTGTCTAGGAATCATTTTTCTTGTGTTCTGTATTTCTTCACAGCAGGGATATGTATTTGGTGGACTGTGTCTTGGTTACGTGTGTACGTGTGTAGGCCAGTAGCGTGTGTGGACTAAAGTAGCAGGATGCTTAAATAAAATATTAAAATCTACAGCATCTGTTCTGTTACATTTTCAATTCATTGAATATTTAATAAAATGACAGGAAAATAATTCCCGCCTGTACTGTGACTAGTTTTGAGTCAACAAACTGAAATGAGTGAAGAATAACGTACGGAATTAATTTGCAACGAACAGAAACTCCACAGAGCTAAAGAACGGTAACTTAATTTTAGTTCGATTATTATGCATACACACCCAGATATACGTACAAGTCAAGGACTTTCTGACTAAATGGTACATTCTTCAGTGTCTCGGTTCAAATAGTCGCAAAACCAGAATATAAATAATTCCATTTTCAGTATACACGCCCAGGACATTCATGGCAAGAGCTCTCACGAATACGTAGGACCCACAGAAACGGACCGCAAGATACGTAGTAAACCATTTCATCTCAGTCAGCGATAGGATAGGACCCACATAAACGGACCGCAATATATGTAGTACACCATTTCATCTCAGTCGGCGATAGGACAGGACCCACATAAACGGAAAGCAAGATACGTAGTAAATCATTTCACCTCAGTCGGCGATAGGATAGGACCCACATAAACGGGCCCCAAGATACGTAGTAAATCATTTCAACTCAGTCGGCGATAGGACAACATTTTGATATTATAACCGTCTTAATCATAACGTCCAGCTAGAATTATATGACTTCGTGTTACACGCAGAAATTCTACGAACACAGTGACATTTGGTGCAATAACAAACGCAACCACATGAGGAGTACGTCAATGCGCATGTGTAACGGGGGTTCTGGGCCTACCATTTCATGAAAACGCATGCAGGTAATACACCTACTGACTCTGATTCCGGAGGCCCTACTTCACGCAGGTCTTCTACTCTGAAGAGAAGGCGAAATTTTCCTCCGAATCGCCGGTTGACTTTCAACGGGCTACAGGTTGTTATACAAAACTTTTCACACCCTCCGCTGTGAGAATCTTAAACCCTACACAACCACATATATCTAAAGAGGGATCTTAAAATTTCGGTGAACCAATCTAAGGACCACTGCATGACTTTCGCTCACATATGAAAAGTAATTATTCCGGATAGCTCAATCAAAAGTGACCTGCTACAGGTTCAATTCTCGGCAGAAGGAGAAAACATTTTTCTTTCATCATCACATCTAGATCAGCTCTATGTCTACCAAGCCAATTAAATGCGTACCGGTGAATTATTTCCTGGGGGTAAATCGGCCCAAGCGTGAACACGAGTATAGCCACTCACTTCCACTTAGTATCGGCGTTAGTGTTTGTTTTGCACACACAAACACACACGTCATATATACGCCCTCAAGAAGAGGTTCTCAGGCCCTCGGCCCCCTGTTACTCATGCACACTGAGGCACTGACAGATTTTTAGTAAAATGAGGATTCATATTCAACTGTAGCTAACTAAAATATAAAATTCTTGAATAGGCTTCATCCTGCATGCTTTATTGCTACACAGCGAAAAACATAACCAATCAAGAATATTAAAATTGCTTCGTTGCAAATGCAGAGACCGTCGTTGCAAACTTATACTTATATCTGAAGCTGTATTTCAGTATTTAAACATGAATCAGCTTGTACAAATAAACTTTCCATAAATTAAAAAATGCACAAAAATGCACNTAGTTGCTGATTCATGCGGCCTCCGCGCCTTTAATGGTTACTACTTCCTGCATTCCTCAAAGCTCTCAAGATCTGATACGGCACAGGCCGCCTAGAAGAAAAATATATGGAAGGATACACAGAGACACAGACAGCAAGGTGATTTCATAAGCTTCCTTTTATAAGGAAAGTGGGCTAAAAATTAAAATGGTTACTATAGGATTCTGACGATGGTGTATAACACACAGAGATATTGGGTTTTCGGACTTTATCCATTGTCCTGGTTTTTAAGATAACTAAGAAAAAACACGACGTTTCGGAAACTGGATCTGTTTCCGTCCTCAGGTGAGGTAAAACTGTTTGGTCCCTTAGAAAGAGCTAGCCTCAATCAATGACCAAGACGGAAACAGATCCAGTTTCCGAAACGTCGTGTTTTTTCTTAGTTATCTTAAAAACCAGGACAATGGATAAAGTCCGAAAATCCAATATCTCTGTGTGTTATACACCATCGTCAGAATCCTATAGTAACCATTTTAATTTTTAGCCCACTTTCCTTATAAAAGGAAGCTTATGAAATCACCTTGCTGTCTGTGTCTCTGTGTATCCTTCCATATATTTTTCTTCTAGGCGGCCTGTGCCGTATCAGATCTTGAGAGCTTTGAGGAATGCAGGAAGTAGTAACCATTAAAGGCGCGGAGGCCGCATGAATCAGCAACTACTACATGAGCAAAAACGTTTACTATAGACTCAACAGTAGGTCTGCAAGCTCCATGTCACTGTCTTCATCAGGCGTAATAATACTGTATGCAGTGTCAGTTTTGTAGAGATACAGAGACAACTGCTTTATTTCAGTTTAGTTGCGCACTACAAAAGTACGCTAGTGGCCAATTTGTTCTGAACCGATACTATACATTGTACACGTATGTAGGCCGCGCCATAGCTCAAGCGGTTAGTCACTGGCTTCCCATCGAGGTGGCCCGGGTTCGATCCCCGGTCTGGTCAGGTGGGATTTGTGGTGGACAAAGTGGCGCTGGGCAGGTTTTCTCCGAGTACTTCGGTTTCTCCTACCAATCTTCATTCCACCAGTTACTCCACAATCACCCTCACCTATCATCTGGGGTTGGTACAATAGGCCAGAAGTGGCAGCAGTACAAGGGACTTAGTCCCACCCCACTAGCAAAAAAAAAATACATTGTATGTAAGTCTGTCCCTTCCTCCCTCACCTCACAAATGTCAAGAATGGATTCTCTGTGAAGAACGCGATTGGTTGTTCCAAGAACTTGTTAATTAATGCATAACTCTGTGCACTTTACGAGATCCTACTGCGTTAGGAGCGATGGGTAGTTAGAAGTATGCGTATTTGGGTCTGGGAAGCGTTACACATACGTACCTTATCTTCAGCCTCTTCGGCCCGGCTTTCTGCTTCAACCACTCGCTGCTCCAACTCCGACAGCTGCAACAGAAACATTCGCAGTCATGCATCGAATTCAGTTACAGATCACAGTGGAAATTAAAACTCCACTGTAAAAAAAAAATCTTTCAAGTATACGTGCAGTCCATTTTGAACATCTTAGACTCAACAGACGGGATATTTTCGATATTCGGAAGAATTTAACATTTACATTAACAACCATATACTAATGTTTTTGTTTAAAGTAAACATCAAGCAAATTAGTTCAAAATTCGAATATCTTAAATATGTTACGTTCACTGACATTTGATACTCGCAAGACATAGCACTTCACAAATCCTGGAAAATATTAAGTTAAGAAAGTTTAATTTCCAGTCATATTACAAGGTTCTAACACGTACATTCGAGTCACAGGCACCGGTAGGACGGGGAGAGGGAACCAGGCAACTTCCCCCCATATTCATTTTTTGTACAAATCGGAACTGAAGAAAAGAAAGGATAGTGACAAACAATAATATACATTAAAAGTACAGTATTTACAAAAATATTCTTCTGCCCGGAATACTCTAGGACTATCAGTAGAAACAGTATTACACGGCTTTAACGTACGTTTTTGTAAGCAAATTTTCATCACCCCCACTCCCTCCCCTCCCGAAGACATTCCAGACGGCTCCCATGATTACAATCAATTTATTTCATTCATTAGTTCGTCAGTTACATATATTATAGTTAGGCACTGTAATAAACTGTCGAAAATGAAAATCGTTAATATATAAGCGATGATAATAAACCGACTCAAATTAAATAATAGTTTACGTTCGTCCGTTGAGGATTTCGGGAAGTTGACTCCGACTACGAGAACTCTCGTGCCATCTAGCGGATATTCCTCAATCTAGACGTCAGATGATATCGATTTAACAAAGAGACGAGTGTTTCGCACAACTGCCAATAGATGGCATCAGAGAACACTCTCTCCGCCTTGATGATGTAACAGTTGCTTTGTTAGTCAAGAACGGTCAAGAAGTTACGTACATTTTATGGTACCCGAAGGTTCACTGTCTTGTTCACAAGATCCTGTCATTGGTGTCTATCTTGAGTCAGCCCAATCCGGTCCTCGACCTACCATCCTATTTTTTTAGATCCATTTTAATATTATTCTCCACCTTTAAATCAGGCCTTCCTACGAAGACTTTGCATGTATTTCTCTAATTTCATTATTCTAATAGAATCTGGCGAGAAATACAAATTATGAAGCCCATTATGCAATTTTAGGGGTCGGGATAGCCCAGTCGGTATAGCGACGGGCGACGGGTTGGAAGGCTCGAGTTCGAATCCCGCCAGTGCAAGATTTTTCTCTTCTCCACAGCGTCCAGGGCTCACCCAGCCTCCTATCCAATGGGTGACGTGAGGTCTCTCCCGGGGGTAAAGTGACAGGGGCGTGAAGCTGACCATTCATCTCCATCTAGTGCCGAGGTCAAGAATGGTGGCGCTGTACCTCCACTTCCTACAAATCTTCATGGCACAATGTTCAACTTATTAAGTACGGGGACTTTACCTTTTCTATTATGTAATTTTCTCCATATTCCTGTTCCCTCCCCATCAGAGAAGGGTTTAAGTACCATTTCTAGCTTCATACTAAACAAACTGAATGAACAAGGTTAGGGGTATTTTTAAGTCAATAACACGATGTGTACACTTATACAGTCTATACGAAAGTTTTTTTAATGCTAGTGGGGTGGGACTAAGTCCCTTGTACTGCTGCCACTTCTGGACTATTGTACCAGCCCCAGATGATAGGTGAGGGTGAGTGTGGAGCAATTGGTGGAATGAAGATTGGCAGGGGAAACCGAAGTACTCGGAGAAAACCTGCCCCAGCGCCACTTTGTCCACCACAAATCCCATTTCACCAGGCCCGGGATCGAACCCGGGCAGTCGCGGTGGGAAGCCAGAGACTATCCGCCTGAGCTATGGCGCGGCTCCTATACGAAAGATCCTCAGAAAAAAAATTATACGTATAAACAATTTACAAAGTGTATTCGCAGCATATCTGGGCACAGTACTGAATTGTCTGAGATCTATTATGTTCCAATGATTAATGTCAGATATTGCATACAGATGTTGTCTTCTCTAAAATTACTATATAAAATCATTTACAACGTGTATTAACATCATAGTGTTGAAGCACAATAGATCACTGTATGTCGCGGTGCAAGGGCCGAGAAGGCCCACCCCTTATACAACATCATAGTGTTGGCGTAGTATTGAATACCTTCATTTTCACGGTCTCTATGTTTTGTCTGAGACATCTGGTATCCAGTGATTAATGCCATAAAAATATTGCATTCTTTTGTGGACCCAAACTGCAGTTTCTAAAATTGAACCAATTTTCTGGAAAATCTTTGGAAATTAATAAAATACTGGCAATACAAGTTATCTTCAGAGCAAGTTTTCTGACGGTAGACAGGCGAACAAATTTATAACATAAATCTAAGATATCTATCAGCATGCAGTTTGTGTTATATTTTACAGCTTTCCGTATTTTTCTCGATGCGGCATATGCATAAACGCTACTTTCATCAAATTCCTTAGGGGAGGGGGACATAATATGTCAGTGAAGAAAGCCGTCTTCTGGGATGTGGCGCTGTGTAGATACTGTGTTAACCGACGTTTCGGAGGAACGTATCCCTTCCATCTTCAGGGTAGAAGAAAAAATAAAATCCGCGAACGAGGAACCAGCGTGAGCGGATTTTATTTTTTCTTCTACCCTGAAGATCGAGGCGATAGGTTCCTCCCAAACGTCGGTTAACAGAATATCTACACGCCACCACGTCCCAGAAGACGGCTTTCTTCATAGTCACCGCAGTGAAACCTCAAATCTTACATAACGTGTCAGGTTTCTGTAACAAAACTCGGGTTTTCAAACTTATATTTACTGATTTCAGCCAGAGAGAACATCAAAGAAAATTGTAAATTAAAAACAAGAACACCCTTTATGTACATATTTTCTTTTAGATGCAAACACAGCAGTAAAGGCAAAGCGTCATGACATGAAGAATGAGGGGACGGCTCACCTCCATTTAGGGCCTAAGTTATGACTGCGTGCAGCACGGGTCCGAGCATGTTTCATATGAGATTACAGACACGTCTAAATGTTACGTGTTTAGCTGAAATAGTTCATCTGTTATCACCATAAACTCGAAATGTTCCGTGTATTCGTGGTCAGTTTAACCTCTCATAAGAAATATCATGAAAATATGAAGAAAGCAGTCTTCTGGGATTTGGCACCGTGTATATGAAAAAATATAAGAAATCTGCAAGCGAAGAGACCGGGGGAAACGGTAAAAGCAGACTGCTTTTACCGGTCTCTTCGCTTGCAGATTTCTTATATTTTTTCTTCTACCCTGAAGATGGAGGCGATACGTTCCTCCGAAACGTCGGTTAACACCACATATACACGGTGCCAAATCCCAGAAGACTGCTTTCTTCATAGTCACCGCCGTGAAAGCCTCAGATCTTACAACATGAAAATAAGTTATTAACATTATCTATAGCTCTCTCAGTAAACTAATTAACCACCTAAGTAACTAAGTAAACTATGTCTGCCGTAACAGAACCTGAAGGTTCAATACCACCACTGAGCGATTCTGGACACAATCCTGCTCTATCTCTGCCACACATCTAGAGCCATACAAATAATTAGGGTCACGCACTCAATTGGTTCAGCACTATAATTATACGGGGCACGCGGTAACGTAGTTGGTTGAGGCACCATGCTACAAGTCGGAAGGTCGCGGAATCGAATCCCGATGAGGTGGATTTTTTCAATTTACCTAATCCTTCCAGCCGCACTATGTCCCTGAGGTCGACTCAGCCTCAAACAGAAATGAGTACCGGGACTATTCTTGTAATATTCTTGGGCGTAGCGGGCGGCCGGCGCGTAAGGCTGACAACCTTGCCGCCATCTATGAACCGATTGTCTAGAAAATGTGGGAACCTCAACATCTCACAAGGCTATGGGCCTCCATTGGTACAATAGGCCAGAAGTGGCCGCAGTACAAGGGACTTAGTCCCACCCCACTATCAATAAAAAAAGAAAATGGTCCTCCATGGCCTGTTACAGGGTTACCTTACTTACTTTTACTATAATTATACACAAGAATCGTGAGAGCTCAGCCTCTACAAATACTCTGCTACTGGACGGCTGGGATTCGATTACCTGCAAGGACAATGATTTTTCTCCTTACCACTGTTCCAAACCGGCTCTGGTGCAAATCCAGCCCCCTAGTCAATTCGTACCGGGGCATCTTTCCCGAGGGGAAACAATAGGGACGTGAAGTTTACCATTCACCTCGAAAAAATGCCGATTTTAAAAATACATGAAGCTATACTGTTACTCCCCTCATAGGTTTTCACGTTCAATTAAGTAATGAATTACCTTGAAGAGGTAGTCGGAAAGGTCCTCCGGAACATTTATACCTATCTACCAAACTAGACGGCGTAAAATTCCTGAAGACCCTAAACTCAAAACTTTGGTCAGTTAAGCTATTTGGGGCTACTGCCTATCTACTCGTACGATATTTCCAACGTTCAGTCAAATTAAAAGAATTAAGTCAATGAAATTAGATGACAGCACCTGTAGCGGAACGTCTCTCTTTTGCTTCATTATAACACTGCACAAACACAAACTTGGGTGTTTATTTTTATTACCAGTGTTTACCGTGTCACGCCATTATTATCGGTCCACAAAGCAATTTCGTAGTTTGGATAGATCGATCAGAAGTAGAACCTGTTAAACTGTCCTGACATTGAAAGGTGTTGCCCACTGAAATTCAATCGACGTTTCGGAGGAAAGTGTCGCTTTCGAGACGTCGGCTGACTTTCAACGGACTACATGACGTTATATACCAGGAGACAGAACTCTTCATAACCTCCGCTGTGAGAACATGAAATCCCACGTGCTTTGACATTATTTCGATGCTATCCCTTAACATCTGTTGCCATACTTCTTTTGGCTTATTTTGGACTTCACCCATCGTCTGGTA